AGCTCAATGTGGATAATGTCTTCAAATGTCTTGTCTCTGCCAACCAACAACCTCAAGGAATTCAACTTACAGTGACATAAATTGGAAGAAAAGAATCCAAATCCTCACACGTAAGGAGCTGGAATCAGATAGTTTTCAGGGTATTTGCTAGATAATTAACTTGGACAAATAGTCAATTAGTAAAACTGTTAGTGCAACGTATTAAAGTAAAGTAAAGTAAAGTGCATGTTACGTGCATTCTCTAATTTTATGCCACATTGTCTACTGGTTACTTGAAAATTGCATTTTATGGAAAACACTGAATAACACTGAGCCCAATTTTGGCATTTAACAACATTATGGACAATGTTGATTGTGACAATGTTGAATTTTACTGTACAAATGAATCAATAATTAAGTGTAATTGACTAAAAAAAAAGAACTGTAGACCCACAGAGGCAGGGCTGGGTTATATGGCTTAAAAATACTGTGATATATTTAGGCTATATTGCGATACATGATATAAATCTTGATATTAGAATATTATTAAATGAACCACAGTTACATTGAAGTTAGTTAAATTATCTACTCTCATAATAAAGTTAAATAAAGCACTATTATGATAATGTTTAATAAAATACTGTTATAATTAAGTTAAATGAAATAGTGTTATAATCAAATAGACCGAAGTAAAACCACTGGTGCTTTTATTTTAAATACCTGGCTCGTCTCAGCTGTAAGTGTTTTTGCTGTGAACGTGATGCTTTTGGTAAATAGTCAGATGTTAGCAGTTAGCACAAAGTTAAACTGTCGCCACTGCACCGTTAAACATGTGGATTTATTCACTGTGAGCTGGAAACACACTATCAGTTCTCCAGTTCATATATCTGTAATATTTGCAAGTCACACTGGTGCTCAGTGGTAACAAATGTGACTTAACAGTTGCAGTCTGGAGCCCTGCAGGTACAAAACACACGCTCCATCTGCTCAAACTGTTGTTACACTCACTGAAGAATATGTCACAATCTATTCACTGTGAGCTAAAAACAAACTATCAGCTCTCTAGTCCATATATTAATATTATTTACAAGTCGCATTGGTGCTCCATGGTAGCAAAATGCAACTAAAGTAGCAGTCTGGAGCCCTGCAGATGGGAAACACGCTTTACCTGCTCACACACCAATGCTCAGGAGAAAGTGATCTGGATGGGCAGGAGTGTGTGTGAGTTGATGGTTAAAAAAAAATGATGTGACAATTTAAATTCAATGTTCGCGATATAGTTATTTCATACATCCCTTGTGAAACAAGTCACGACAAATTGAGTATATTTGATATATCACTCACCCCTACACACAGGTGTTACCAGTTATTCTTTTCTGATTAGTCCTGCTTTAATGATGACATCAAAGCTGACATCAGAGTGATGGAGATGTCAAACCATCTGTGTACACCCACACAGTGCTGAGAGAAGTCTAATAAACCAAATGTGAAAACACCTGTGTGTGTGTGTGTGTGTGTGTGTGTGTGTGTGTAGGGGAGTAACTAATTTAGACAAGACAAATTACTTTAACATATCACCTTTCAAATCAGACAACGGTTGTGATAGATCTTCATAAGGGCAACACTTCACTGACGATGACACATAAAACCTTAAATGTTTCATCTTATGAAACACAGCGATGAGCTTATTCATTAAGCCTGATGGGACACGACACTGACTGGAGTCACCACTATATAAATGTGACCCAAAACAAACAAGCCGAGTCTCCGGGGCTGGGATTAGAGAGATCAGACCAGCTGCAAGGCTGCACTGCTGCTGTCGCTACACGTCAATTACATAAATACAGCTTCCTGTCTCTACGCCAGCATCAGGACCACCAGCACCCTACCCCACCCACCCCTGCCTATGCCACTGCTGGCGCTCTGCTCGACGTGGCACTCATGAGCTCAGATGTGCAGGTAGTCTTGACACCTGGGTAAACACCACGTTGCCATGCAACAGCATCACCAGACTGACCCACTTCCTCAAGCAGAGGGGATTTGAGCACTGAACCACTTAGAAGATAAGGGTGGTGGTATGCTGTATTTGTACTTATTGTCTGTAAATCCCATGGAAAAAACAAAAACAAACATGTAAGTACATTTTAATTAATTATAATGATAAGATAAAGCAAAAACTGTGTCTACTTGCACTTTGAATACACATTCCTTGTGCTAGTTTCAGCATTTTGGCTTAAGTATGGCTAAGCAAAACTAAACGACAGTACCCATATTTGTGGCAATAAAGGATCATGTCACCCAGTGTAACACTGAAATCCCTCTTCATTTGCTGCTCAGTGTCACTGCTCTTCTTCTTCACACATAAAATATATTCAAAGAGCTTCCAAAGACAAAACTGGCCTACATGTGTAGCTGCTCACGTTTGCTGTTCACCTGGTGTTCGGTGTCTCTGTGCCATAGTTAACAACACCTGAGAGGTGTAGCCTTCAATGCGCTGTTAGTGGGGGACCACATTTGGCTGATTGGTGCTGAGTGTTTGACCTGTAACTGCACCACACACGGGTGGCAGATACAAGGGAGGCAAAGCCATTAGTGACACACGTGGACACTTACGGGAAATGTCGCACTCAGCACAATGAGGGTGGAACACAATGCTGCTGCTGCCACCACCGCTGCTGTCATGACAGCACACAGCATCCACTGCTCACACATGTAACACTCTCCACCGCTGACTGACCATCAGAGTGTGGGACAGAAATAAACTGTTGTGACATGAAGTCTTGGTGAAAGATGGATGAATGATCGTCTTTGATTTGTGTCAGATGGAAGCTGAGAGCTTGCAGGGTGATATGTTACCAGTCTCACATGTGGCACAGGACACATCTCCAGTTTATTAGGTACACTTGATGCAGTCTAATACAACAACAGTCCTGCAATAAATCCTACCCTCATGAAGGTTTTCATGATCTGATTTTGTTGAAACTGTTTTGTTGAGGTGTTAGAGGTGTGTGGACAAGAATCTGAGTCATGATCTGCTGACTAGGGCTGGCACGATATCAGATTTTCACTATGTAATTATCGTGGTCTAAAGAGTTCCTGATAACGACATTACTGCAATATCTAATAATATTCAGTTTCATTACAAACACATTTTGTGAGTTGGAGGGAGAGGCAACATGCAAAAACACGTGGCTCGGAAATTACAAATAACTGTAATTGAAATAATTAACATAACAAGACACACCTGATCATTTTGCTTTTAAATCTAACATTTATATTAGGTTTGGGTGGTATCAAGGTATTACACTGTACTGGGGTATTGAAAAAATCCTGAAGGTATAGTTTTCAAAATCGTCAAAACTACAGACGCTCCTGTTTCTATTAAACTGGTACGGAGATGCTGTATTGAGGCAACGCATTGTAGTTCACAACACGCTCCACCAGAGGTCAGTCTTTACCTGTAAAACAGGCAGTTCAGCTACGAAAGACTGAGCGGTAGGGATAACGTTACAGGACTAATAAAAAAGAAGAATGCCCCTACCTCTGTTTGGGAGTGCTGCCACTTAAATCTTTATCTTGAGACAACTTCTTCCAACCACAGAAGCAGGTCATTAGCCACATGACTTTATTCAACACATCAGCTCCGTTTAGTCTACTGATGTGCTTACTGCTGCGACAATAAGCGTCATCTGGTCTTCTATCTCCCATCTTTTCATTATTCTATGGGCCATGAGGATTTAAACCCAGCAAGACTTGCAGTGGCGTAAGCTGCAATGGCCCCCAGTGCACGCTATTATGACGGGCCCTAGTGCATGCTATTATGCACGTATCATCTCGTCTCATGTCGTCACATGATCAAAGATCTGACACTGATTCATCAACATAGATACTGCCAACAGTCATCAATGCATATTTTTATATGACAAAAAATACCAAAGAAAGTAAGAAATGTATTTTTTATATATAATAAGCATATAATTTCGTTATAGACGCTATTGACTACTTTACAAAAAAAAAAGCTTGACGGAGATGGGTTTGCCTTTTTCAAGGGCATATATACCAAATGGCACTGTTTTTGATTTAATGAGAGTTCTTCTTTGAACACAGGCATATTTCCAAGCTGGCAATCCCTCATAAGGGCTCAGTCTCTACCCAGCATGTTATTGGAGGGTCCACTCCCACCTCATGGGCACCAGTACAACTGCACTGCCTGCACTGTCTATATTTACGCCCCTGCAGACTTGAACACAGCCTTGTAGGGTTGACAATAACATACATGCTACAATGACATCTATCACCAACAGCTCAGCTTTTATTTATTTACACTAAATCGTATACAGTATACAGCAGTAAAATGTCACAAAGGTATGATTAAATAAATACTGCCCGAGCCTAGTTCATAAGCAAGTAATACCTACATTTTTTAAAAGGGTGGCCATTCTGTTGCAATACTATTACTGCGTTTAAAATCTTTTAATAGCATTCAATGAGTTGACGAGTACACGCATAATGACTGGTTTGGGACTGGGATCTGACTCAGGACTTCTTAAAGCAAAACTGCAGCTGCAGCTTAAGTTTCATATAAACTGTTTAAACATGAGCTGAACATTGTCAGAGGTAGGGTTTACTGCAGGGTTGTTGTATTAATGTATATTAGTGTAAGTCAGGTGTACTTACAAACTGGCAGCTGAGTGTATTCCCAGTATAATAAGAAATAATCTACTGAGTGATGACCACAGGTTATTAAATGAGAGCCAACCTGTCCCAGCAGGATCTTTATTTCACTCTTTTATAGCCACGTAGTCAAAAATACTATTCAAAAGTAACAATCCTACTCAAAAACAAACACTTCTTCACCACCCACTATAATTTAGCCTCCTCTCCTGCAAAACAGCACCCAGCAGCCTATAATTTCCTGCTTCTCCCTGTTAAAACACACAAGGAAGAGTCTCTTTTACCAGTCTAGTATTCAACAAGATAGTCCACTGGGTTACATAATGAAAGCGAAAAAGAAGTCTAACCTTTTAATACTTGCATGCAGGAGACTTTGTATGTGTAGTTTGTCTCGGAGTGACTCAATGTGGAGCTGCAGTGTGTCTCTGCTGACAGCTGGGTGTCATAGGTGATGACTTGCGGCTGATATTAGGCTCATAAACAGTATAAACAGTAGGTTTAACAGACCATGGTCGTCGTGTTAATGCACACACAGACCGCAGCTCCACTGACAGCTGCCCCACTCAGCATACTCGGCTTCATCCCACAGTCAAACCAAAGCCTCTCCCGTCAAACTCGGCTCGTGCTCAGGGTATTAAAGTGTCCGTGACGCTGCGTGTGTCGACTAAAGTCATCAAAATGTCTGAATATTACCGTGTAGCTGCGCTGAAGCCCTCAGAGATGTCCGACAGCTCCTCTCTGTCTCTCTCGGTCCATCTATTTATTATCCAATCCAATGGTATGGTCTTGTGAGCGTGCTACGTCACTTCCGGACACTCTGGCCGTACACCTGTAAACCCCAGCGCTCACGTCATCGAAGATCGTCTATTGCAGAGCTGAATACAGCGGCTGAAAAACAAGTAGAGCTGAAGTACCTGCAGCTAGCAGCCTGTTTGTCTGCTTCAGCAAATGGCAAATGCCAAAGCAGCAGTTTTTATCTGAGGTACTTGTACTTTACATGAGTATTTCAATTTTAGTTTAGTTTTTTGCACAATTAAAACTCAAAAAGGCGAGAAAAATAAATAATGAATAATGAAATACAAGGCAGGGAGGCAAAACTATTTTTCCCCAACTATTTTTATTGGGGGTTTTAATAATATACATAGCAATAGTATAAAAGTGAAGACAGAATTTCTGGTACAAAAATATAAAAAAAATATTCTACAAGTTAAAAAAAAGATCAGTTTTATTGAGTAATTTTTTCTGTTTTTTGGTGTAATTTTTTCTGTTTTTCGTGGAATTTTTTTGTTTTGTTTTTTGTGGAATTTTTTTCCTGTTTTTCGTGGTAATTTTTTTTTAAGTTAAGAGTGCAATAGAACAACAGACACTTTCATTGCTTTCTTGAGAGCTCAATATAATGGAAGCAAACATGACCCGCTTGTTTCTCTTAACTCAGAAAAAAATACTCAGAAAAACAGAAACAAAATTACCACGTAAAACAGAAAAAAAAATACCACGAAAAACAGAAACAAAATTACCATGTAAAACAGAAAAAAAAATACCATGAGAAACAGAAAAAAATACCACGAAAAACATACAAAATTACACCGAAAAACAGAAAAATTAAAAAATTACTCAGAAAAGCAGAAAAAATTACTCAACAAAACAGATTTTTTTTGTCAGGTGAATGCAATACGCTTCCATAAAAAAGACACAAGTTTGCAAAAAATAATATTTATGAATAAAACATATCATTCTATTTTTTTAAATGTATTCATTTTTCATGTATTCATATCATTTATTTATTTATTTATTTTTACTTCACTACATTTATCTGTTAGCTTTGGTTGAAGTATAGACCCTGGCTACTTGTCAGGTCGAGATTTTACAAGTTAAATACATAATCAGTTTTAAAAAAACTGATCATTCTCATAAATTAAATTGCAAAACAGCATATTATGTCATTAAAATAATTCTGTTTATTGTTTTTTAAATCAATAAAAAAGGAAAATAAATACATAATAGTTATAGAAAAAAATAAAATAAGCAAACAACAAAAAGGGGGGGGGGGGGAATTTAGGAGAATGTCAGATTGACAATGTTTTGTGTCATTTAAACTGGGCTAGTTAGGGGAAGAACTTGGTGCATATTTCTTAAAGTGCTCTATAAAGGGTTGGTAGAATTTGTTTTCACATTCTCTTAGAGAATTTAATCTTTTCCAAATGCAGGTGGTGCATCACATCCTTCACGAGGGCAGAATGGGCAGAATCAAATTATACTGGGAGCTAGTTAACACAAGATCAGAACTTTGAATACCAAAGAGTGCAGGCAGTGGGTCAGGATCCACAAGTCTACCCAGGATGTCTGATAGTGACTGAAAAATATTTCACCAATATGTTGTGACTTGAACACAACGGTCGCACACTGGACTAAAACATTTTACAGAGAAATGTTCACAAAGTTATTAAGAACTGAAAAGTACAGAGATAAAGAACAATACATGAAATAATAAGTGATAACCAACTACAAATAGCAAAATATGTTTGATTGCAACAACAACAAAAAAAAACCCAGCAAAACCTTTTACCTTTATTAAATTTTGATGATAATACTTGTGTTTTTACTCAATATATACATTGTGCTATTACTACTTTTGCTTGTGTAAAATATCTCACTATTTCTTCTGCCACTGCCATGGGTATTTGCTGGAATAAAGATGTAGTGTGTCATCACTTAAAATGGCACCAGGGTGATTTCCTAATTAGCATTAAACTGCACTCCCCATGAGGCTTTGAGGGTGCACCTGTGTCTTAGACTCAAGGGAGCTGTGGTATCTTCACTTAAGGGGAATGACTGGTTTTACTGCAGGTCAGACAGTCTCTAAACACCTTCTAATGGCTGTAATAACCTTATTAATCAGGCGTTTGTTTTGTTCTGTTTTTCCTCACATGAATCAGGATATGAAGGATGTTGTCTGTAATCATGGCTGAATAGCTGTCTGAGACAAACTTAAGTAATTTTGGGTGACATGTAAATAAATTTGACTCGCTAATGCATAACGCATGACATAGATTAATTAAGTATGACCTCATTTCGTGTGATGCTCTGTTCACAGTGGAAAATTGCCAAAATGCACGAGTCCTACAAATGTGAGCATGCCACATAAAAAGTGATTATTCAGTGTCGTGTCATGCCATGCAGAGGTTGCCTACAGCAGACAAAACAATAAAACCAGATGTGTCACAGCCCCAGACACAACTCTATAAACAAGACAAAAAAATCTTAATCTACAATAGGTGTCAAAACAAATTTGACTGCTATTTGTCATGTTTTCAAATTGAACATTGGCAGTCAAGTCCACTGGCACAGTCTGATTTGGTCATTTTGAACACGCCATTTTAAGTAAAAATGGTAGGCCTAAGGTATGGAGGACCACAGGTGTCATGGATATCGTAAAGCATTTAATTAACTAATAACTGATTGTATTATTAAAATAGACATTAATAGATTTGTTTGTAAATGAACATATTAATCTATAAATAAATAACTACACTGTAATTCAATTCTGTGACACTTGTGGTCCTCCATATAGACATATTAAATAAATGAGTTCAGATCCATCGTGTCTTGTCATTCTTGTGAGTTTTCACTTTATTTTATTTTATTTTAGTAGTTTTTGGGCCATATGCAGAGAGGTTTCTCCACAAGTAAACAAAATTGCTTGGCACAAACTTGCCTTTTCACATTTTATGAAAATAATTTTGGCAAATAAATAAAGTAATAATACATAGAATGATTATATTGTAATTCATTTCTGTTACACTTTTGGTCCTCCATAGCCAATGACATATAGAAATACTAAATAAATAAGTTGGGATCTGTCTCATCTTGCATTCTTGTGAAATTTTTTTTTTTTTTTTTTTTACAAATTGTATTATTTTAAAACATGAAATTTCTGGGACATTATGCTCATTATGAGACAAGCACAAGTAAACAAAATTGCTTGGTACAAATGTGCTTTTTCACATTTGATGAATATTATTTTGGCAAATAACATATAATTTTTAAGCTCTGTGTTGACAAAAAAAATGTAATTTATACGATTTGGTAGACAATAACAGAATACAGCAGAGAATCAAGGAGGACAGACCACAGAAATAAAAACTATTTTAATGTGTGCAGACTCTGGTGAGCTTTACGCTCTGATATCATTAAATACAAGCAGAGTGAGAGCTCTTCCCTTTCCTCCTCTTTGCTGCTGTGGTTAAAAATAGCTTCTGTATCTTTTCAATGGCGCTGCACCGCGGGGGATTTACAGTACAAACAATAATAATAAAGGCAGGAATGTCTGAACACAGGCGACAGTTTAATGTTGAACAGGGCTGCCTACAGAGAGCACACAGTTTAATCCTTTAAAACCATTAAACAGCTTCACTCAGGTGCCTGTAGCAACTTTGCAAATCACTTCACAGGGCCACACATGGACGACACTGTGTGTTTTTACAGAGGAAGAGCATGCTGTGTGATTTACTGGCAGAGCAATAGTTGATTTATATGAAGGAGGAAAAGCAGCAGCGGAATGAGGAGGGTGTGAAACCGATACTGCTCTGTCTGGCGACCTCTGCTTGAGCCAATGAGCAGCTTTGGAGGCTGCTCCGAAACTACTGCAGGGCTGCACGCTTGGCAGGTGGACAAAAAGTCGAAAATAAAAAACACATAACAAAGGACTATGCACGAGATCACTGTGATGAGATAAAACCAAATGACAGAGGGAGAACAATGAGAGACAAGACGTGCTTATCTATTAAAAGAAGTCAACACAACTCAGTTTAAGAAGCGTTTTTAATAATTATTAAGGCCAGAAGTGCTTGATTATGTAAAGGTGGCACATGAGGTAAATGTACAGAGATACCTGGACATACAGGAAGACTGAGTGGATAAAGAAATACTCCTTTGCTTTAATAAAAGCAGCAATGGCCTACTATAAAGTAAAAATACTGCATTACAAGTGAAGCAAAATACATAAAAATTAACAGTCCTCATTATGCAGTATGGTCCCTCATAAATTTAAGTCAATATATACTATGTTATATTATTGCATTTTTATTTTTGATGCTTGTAAGCTACATTTTCATGTTGCAGCTGGACCCTTTTCTAAGTACTTAGAGTAGAGTTGGGAATTTTTATCCAGAGCAATGCATCATTTTGATTTGCATTTGTATGTTGTATGGAAAAAGTACAACTAACTGCAGTGTAAGATGAATGTAGTGAAGTAAAACGACCCGTATTTGCATCTGAAATGTAGTGATGAAGTGGCATAAAAATGGAAATACTCATGTAAACTCCCTCAAAATGAGGTGTTTATTCTGAGCGTACACATATAAGACAGCATAAAGTGTACAGTGAAGTGTATGGGTGAAACCTTTAGTTTACTGGCTTATGACATTTGTGCAAATTGTTAAAAAATAATCCACAGCAGCAAACATCATGGCTTTATAGTGTCTTGTTTCAAGTGCTTTCAGTGCAACAGAACTGACCAGCCTTTAAAAAAAGGCCACATGAACAGGCAGAAGAAACCCTGTGTATGGAGAGGCACATTTACAGCACCAGCAGTGCAGAACATCAGAACTT